GACAAGAGCGCTCAAGGGTGGGACCATGTAATTTGCCAGTGTGTCCTCTATGTCACCTGGGACGTGCAGGGTATTGGGTGGTTCAGGTGTCGTCTTAGGAGAAGCATAGATCCTTGATACTCCAAGATTTCCAGGACCAGAACTCTCTTCGCTATTGCTCAGTTCAAGTACTGTCCTATCTTACCTCCCCTGCATGTTCATCTGTATGGAGCCTCATCCTTTTTTTTAACACCTATCCAGTCTGAGAGGAGAGAAACAGGTGTTTTGTTTGTCACTGCTTTCCACCATCTTTCACCTCCCCAGGGACTTCATTCCATTAATTAGTCCCTCTCTCCCCTTAATCCTCACACTCTTCCCTACCCAAGTCTTTTTCTCAGCTTACAAGCTTGCTGAGATCTCACTTTAAAATAAACCCACACACGCACACACCTCCACTCCCACACCTGGCTCACAGAGCTCTCCATGCTCGGGTCACATGTTACCTCCTTCCCTGGCATTCTCTTCAAGCCCATGCTTCAGCTTTTCTCTGTTCCTAGAGCTCCCTGTGCATCCATCTAATCTTGCATTTGTTCACTGTACCAGAGTTTATTTGTTTTTGTTTGCCCCCCCTCCCCATGACTGAATATAACTGGAGGACCTCAACAGTATATTTTACCTATTGCTGGATTCTAGCTGCCTTATGTAGTATATGCTCAATAAATGACTGCTGAATGAATAAAGTAGAGGCCAACTCTAACATAATGAATGTGTCATTTAGAGAAGTTGTTACCAAATCTAAATAAAGCATCTGTAGGAGTGCCTGGGTGACCCAGTCAGTTAAGCGTCAGACTCTTGATTTTTTTGGCTCAGGTCATGATCTCAGCTTTGTGGTATCGAGCCCCACGTTGGGCTCTGCACTGACAGCACGGACAGCATGGAGCCTGTTTGGTATTCTCTCTCTTCCTCTCTCTGTCCCTCCTCTGAGTGTGTGCCCTCTCTCCCTCTCTCTAAATAAACATTAAAAAAATAAATAAAGCACTTGGAACAGGCCCAGAAAATTCGCCAAGATTATATCCTCAAGACCCAACTGCAGTGGCATTTGAAGAAGGTATTCTGACATATTACATTTTAACAACAGCAGGATACTAAATAGTGGTATGAGTTCAATTACCCCCACAGGGTATATTAAAAATTATATATGCAGTACTTACTGAAGAAAAAATTTTTAAAAAATACAGAAAGCAAAAGTGGGGAGTCCCTGGGTGGCTCAGATGGTTAAGCATTCAACTTTTGGTTTCAGCTTAGTTCATGAGATCGAGCCCCAGGTTAAGCTCTCTGTGCTGATAGCTCAGAGCCTGCTTGGGATTCTCCTCTCTCTCTCTGTCCTTCTCTGCTCACTCTCTCTCTCTCTTTCTTTCAAAATAAATAAATACACTTATAAAAAAAAGCAAAAGAGAAGGAAAATCACCTGTAATCCTATGATGCCGTCATGACCTCTATTAACATTTTCATATACATTCTACTAGATTTTTTTTTAAGATGCAAAAAATGTGTAGTCATATAAATACATTTTTTTCTTTTGTTTTTTTTTTTGAGAAAGG